GGGGGGGTTAAAAAGCTGTTATTATTTACATTATAATGCATTGCTGGAACACCCCAGAACGCAGTGAGCTGGACGGGTTGCAATCCAGTGTGTTCCAGCACTAAATTGGCCGGAACACACTGGAACTGGTGTGAATTAGCCCTGAAAAAAAACCAAAAAACATACTTTTCATTTAATAGAAGAAAAAAAAAAACTTAGATGTGAATGTGATTCATGATACCCATTCTCACCTCCATGTCTAAATGTTACGTATAGTAACTCCAATCATTCTGGCAAAAAAGAAAAGCTGACAGGTTTGATTTAAGGCCTCATTCACACCTGAGCATTTTGTTGCTCGATTCCCAATGTGTGACAAAGCTCATGATGAAGAACCCTCATTATTCTCAATGGGCCCATTAACATCTGAGCATTGTGTTGCTTGTGGCATGTCGGGTGAAGCTCAAGAAAGTATGTGGATTCTTTTGGGGAAGAATCGTGCATTTATGGCTCCAAAGACTTAATGGGAGAGCCTGAAAAATGCTTGAAAATTGTGTGTTTATGCACATTATTCAGGCACTCCCAATTAGAATTCTATGGGGCCAAAACACAAGTTTCTGGTACTGTGCTGCAAATCATGCATAATAAAAGAACATACAAATGCACAAGATAAACTCCTCTAAATCGCCTGGCTACGAGAATACTTAGGTTTGAATGGGGAGTATGAGTAATCGTAGTTTTGCCTGGCTTTGACATTTCCCTTGATTTTACTTTACATGCCCTGGTGTGCGGCATTTCCTAAGGAATGAACAAAGTCTTGGTTAATCTAGTAATTCAAAGATCAGAATAACAATAGCCCGTTTTCCCATTAGCTGCTGCTTGTAAAAGCAGAATTTCAGGTATTATAATCGTAAATAACTATTTCAGGAAAAGACTGGTCAAAGTTGTTGGCACAATAGAAGTTTATGGGATCGACCAATTTGAAGCAATGTACAGGGACCAGAAGCAGTGGGCTAATGGTACCTCTGTAAACATATCAGGGTTTTCAGAGAGTTTTATCTGTAAAAGCACAGCATGGAGATACGTCTAATATACATTAAACCTACCTCCTGCAGTCCTTTCCACACATACTTCCTGGAGCTGTCCTTTAATTAGAGTTATAAATACCTCCCTACTGTAGTTTCTTAGCTGACCATTATCTTTCTTTTTACTGTAACCCAGTGAAACCAATACAATGGTAACAATAATGAATACTACCTCTGCAGTCTTGTCAGAGTGTTCTGCATTAACATGCACATCATGATCCCATCCTACGTAAAAAAAAAAAAACAAAAAAAAAAAAAACAGTAACTCAAAATGTAACATTTACAAAAAGTAACATTCAATGATACTACCTACAAAGTGTATTTGCCCACAGCAACCATAATATTTGACTTACCTGTAATCAGGTCTGTAAAACATGAATGCTGACTATTTGCTACATGTTTTGGCTTTTGTGCAAGAAGTCATGACTTTGGTTTGCATGTAATCTGACCAAGGGGCAATCTTCTGTAAGTCTAATATAGTAATATAGATATATACTTATGTAGACATAGAATGCAAGTAGGCATTAAGTTATGGCACTGGACATTTTGATTCATATGGCTATTTACAATGTTTTACCGACACCAATCACTTTTTTATTCTTTCTTACTTAAAAATGAGTGCAGCAGACCTCTATAAACTATACATTTATTCTGAGCACTGGAATAAAGCACATAAGAAATCTCTACATGAATACATTCCACTCAAAACACCACTCAATTGTTTTCAGCAAAAAGGAAGATGTGAGAGTGATGGGTAAGTATCTGTGTTCCTGCCACCACCATTGTAGAGGTCTTGAGCTGAGCTTTGTTAATCATTTTATTGCCTCTCATTTCTGTTTGCCCGATGTGACACAAGCCGATTCAACTGTAAAAGGGTGTTGTCTGCTCCTGATAAGTTGGCCTGATCAGGGCCAAATATGCAATGCTGTTATCTTTTATAGAGGAAGCAATGACTTTCACGGGATGCATCTCAATACTTGGGAATAAGAGTAAAGCTGGCCATACACCAGTCATTTTTTCTGAACCAAAAAAATGCTTGATTCCTCTATACATGCTAAACAGTGCGGATGGGGAGATACCCCCCGCAGGGATATTGTATTCTGACGGTGGTGGATGTGCCCAGTGTAGAATAAAGCTGGCCATACACCTATAGATTTTTAATCAGAAATGTTTGTTGCTGCCAAGAAGCCTCTTCAGATTCTGGCTCAAATAGCTCATCAAGCACAGACCAATGTTGATTTCGATAACTGTTCGTTAGCAATACTAACTCACCTAATTTTGTTGGTCGACAGAACGGACTTTCGTTTGCGTATGCGCAGTGTTCTTGTGGCAATTTTTTTTTCATATGAAAACCCCACTAATTCGATTTGAAAAAAGTTTTCCAGCCTGATCAATCGAGGAGCTTCCGGCAGGAGTACAGTAACTAAAATCGTTGGGTTCCCATCAACTGATCGATTATCATTCAAAACCACGTTCGTATTCGATTTCCGAACGAAAATCAAGTGTATGGGCACCTTAAGCGAACAGTGACTGCAGCTGATTGAGGCAATCAGTTTGGCAGAGAATTTTCAGACTGGCTGTTTCCTATTTTTGTTGAACGGAGAGGTGCCAACGAGGCCCACACTGCTCTAATTGGCCTACATTTCAGCAGTGTATGGCCAGCTTATTAGTGAGTGGGAAAGAGAAAGATACTGTGTGCCAGTATCATAGCAAGTAAGCCTACGGCAGCTGGACACAAGACTCAATTATTTGACAGAGAGAGAGCTGAATGTATATTGAGGGAGTGAGTGATTGAGCGAGTGGACCGTGCCAGACATGATTTTATTTTTTTTTTGTCTGTGGGGGTGCTGCCTAAACTGTGTGGATGCCGGAAATGCTGCATAAATCTATTTAATCCTAGAATCCGCAATAATGTTGGTCATTGAACTGCTGTGTGGATTTCATTGCCTATACAATAACCCCTTTTTGAGGCTATCTACCCCAAGAATTTGTGGAAGCAAGGCTGCTACCATCACACAAAGATTTATCACAGATTGGAATTAGTTTCTCATTTTGTAAAAGGTAAAGAGTAGCTAGTAGGAGTTTGTGTAGAGTATCTCCTCACTACTACACCTGCTGAGGCAAACCAGATGTACATGTTTGTGCTTGAAACTGGCAGCAACCACATTGTGATGGTCAGGTCATGCCTGTATGTCCTTTGGTCCTGTAATGCATATGACTACCTATACTGTAACCAGTATCTTACAAACACCATACACATATCTTACAAACATGTGTTAAAGTGGGTTTCAAGCCAAACATTGTTTTCTAGTTTTGGATGGAGTGGTGAAGGATTGGAATTTATGTCAAATATTTGCTGCTGTTCAGGGTTCAGTTAAGGTGGCCATACTCAGCTCAATATTAGTGCCTTGTCAGCACCACCCAGCTCCATGAAAGTCAATTGGAAAATTGAAGAAGACGGGTGGAAAATTAACAGCTGAATAGTGACTGCATCAGATGCAGTCACTGTTTTGGTATTCAGACAGTCATGGGTGTTGCAGCTGTCTTAATACATAAGACGACAGGGAAGATTCCAACATCCATGCGTTTAGCATGGATGGGGGAAATTGATTCATTTTATTCATTCTGCCATGTAGGGCTAAAGGTGTATGGATAGCTTTAGAGTGGTTTTACCAGAAAGGTAAGGATTACTCTGCAACAGAAACACAAATAGAACTAATAATCTGGCAGGGGTTATAGCTTTCCCCAACTCTACTAAAGAAAACCTTTTTGATTCTGTGTTGCTGTATAAGGTTACCCTTATTTCCCTTCTTGTAAACTGTTGTCAGGAGGACAGGAAGTGAGGAAAAATCTCAGATTTACCCTCACTAAAAATATTATTTTAGTGTAGATGTTTGTGATTATCAATATATCAGCAATACAAGTCAATCACATATGCACGCTATGCTCTTTGTGTAGCAGAGCAGCACCATGATAGTTTTTATGTCTTCATACCTCCTCACGTATCACTTCCCCCTCCCTTTTAGATTGTAAGCCCTCACGGGCAGGGCCCTCTTTACCATCTTGTCTTGAATTGTATTGTGATTGTAACATCTTCCTTATATTGTAAAGCGCTGCGCAAACTGTTGGCGCTATATAAATCCTGTATAATAATAATAATGTCTTCATATGCACCAGATCCAGTAGGAAGATTACAAAGCCCATTTTTCGCATAAAAAAAAAATATTAAGTCAAACAACTCATTATGAATGCACATAGCTGCACAATAAAAACAAAGGCAGACAGATTTGTCTTTGTGCTACTAATAACCTTATCCAGTTCTGCTCCTACCCATGTAAGAGTCAGACTTGGCACAGAGTCTGGCATCTTCACAAGCCGTGTACTAAACGTGGATCATTTGATGTGAGTGGACAGTTTAATGCTGATAACCTGGTCCACTGGTCAGAGGAAACAAAACTTGTGTCACATTTTGTATTGTCACATGCCACTTTAATCATGATAGGAATATTGTTGTTGCTATAATCATGCGTGTATTAGAGAGACTACTTCTGGCTATACAGCTGTCCCTGTACAGATGTAAACGGTTTGATGTGCGGGATAATCCATACAGCTGTTGCTTCTGTCAAACTGTCATTGATTATTTACAGGCTGCTGGTTGTGGCTGCACAGAAACTCAGTAACTCCTGAGTGCTTCTAAAGTGCATAAACACATGCATGTAGCCCGTGTGCATGAGCCCTAAGGGTTCAGGTTATTTCTGGGTCAAGGGTTAGCATGGTCAGTAATTAAAACTCATAAGTGCATTTTTCATATGTGATCAAGTACTGCCATTTTATGTGTGATAGAAGCTTGTCCTGACACAAACACAAATTAAAAGTGTGACACATTAAAATGAAAAAATAAGGTATCATACCAAACATAACTGCTTTTCTGCAACACTGTGGACAAAGCTCTCTAAACAGACTTTACAGAAATCAATATAACAAGCAAAATTTGATGTGTAGAGGCCATTTGCTCTAGCTGCTGAAAATAAACATTATCGTAAATAGCTTAGTGGTTCAAATCTAAACCCCGGGACACCTATTTTGTCATTCATTTTCTTGCAGCAAACAATGCAGCCTACATATCTGTGTGTGAAATATGAACAATAGTGCAGAGAAAGAACAAAAGTGCAATTACATACCTGTCGGTTGGTGATAGCTTTAACTGCATTTAAGTCCGAACCAGAACAGAATGTATTCTCTGCACCATAAACAATAAGTCCTTTCCCATCCTGCCAGTTCTCCAGATCATGAATCCGTTCTGCTAATTCTATCATCATTTTTCCTGAAAAACAATTTCAATCAGTTCCAAAATCACTGTTTGCCAATAGGAGCTCTGGAGAAGACAATGCATAATCATCCAATGAAAACAAGGCGATATTGCACAGTACAACAATCATTATTTCACCATTTAAAACGTCGAGCCTTTGGAAAAACTCTGGAAAGATCAAAATGATCTCTACAGCTCCACTAAAGTTGTGGGGCTTATAGAAGAGCTGAGAAATTACCTGAAATGCTTCTCTTATCTGTGCACAATTTATATATCATATACAATATAGTTGAAGGGGGCAATAGCTTATATTTCTGATCAGTTTGTTCATTTAGCAATTTCTCTGTATATTCTGTACTTTGGGCTAGGGCTGCAACAACTAATCGACATAATCGATTATAATCGATTATTGAAAAAGTTGTCAACTTTTTCAATAATCGATTAATCGGCTTCCGATCAGTTGGCCCTGTTCACGGCTCCACACACGCTGCGCGCCGCACCTCTTCCCCACCTCACGCTCACTACTTTGGGCCCTCAACTGGTCCTAATACATAACAAACTCTAATATATTGCCCCTCTTTTATAATGGAACAGCTGTCAGTTCATCTTTCTTTGAGTTTTGCACATTTATTTTGATCAAGGTTGATTTTGATAGGTAAATGAAAACAGATGTTGTAGTGAAGGCCCTCCGATATGATAATACGTGTAGCTAATGACGCTTAAAGTATTTGCTAATATAATACTTGGTTTTCCATGTACATGAAATAGTGCATTAAAAAAAAGTACAGCATGCAGTGTTTTTATTTTAGTGCACACAGTGAGACGCAGGTGCCATCAGATCGCACCACAGTGTGCCCATAGAACTTAATGAAATGTCCCTTGTGAAAGCTCAATAAAGTTCTAACAAAAAAAAAAATAGTACAATGCGCCTTGATTGAGCACATCAGCACTGTGCGGGCACAAGCACATCCACAGCTGTGCGGTGTAGTGCGGCTGCTGGTGTGAACAAGCCATTAAAGAATCAAACTTAGAAGCACTGAGCAAACCTTGTCCTGTCCAGAACAAGATGTAGGAGCGTTAAACACTAAAAATAAAAAATATACTGCTGAGGCTGCTGAGAAGACTGGTCTTTAGAAAGAAAAATGGAAAAGCCTATGAAAGATGTAGATCCAACAACTTTTGCTGCAACTACTTTATCTAAAATAATGTCTCCAGGAACGAGCCACCAAACTACTGACTTAAAGGGTTAATAAACCCTCACGTTTTTTGGCATATATCTACTGCTAGCAAGCAGTAGATATGTGCAAAAACGTAAAAAAAAACAAAAACCTTTTGAAACAGATTAAAAAACTTACCTGTCTTCGCCGCGCTCTCCAGTACGAACATCTGAAGAGTCTCGGGTGGCCGCAAAGGATCTTGGGGCGGGCGCATTCGTACTTCGGATGTTCGGCCGGCAGAAATGGAGACACACAAGGTAAGTCTATGGAGCAGCGTGCACCCTCACAGACTCCGTGGGACATCAGAGAAGAGGAGGACAGAGGAGTCAGCACTGGATCGGAGACCGACACCTTCAAGTTTGCACATTCCATAGAGAATTCTTTATCTGCACCTCTTGTAAGATGAACATGCAGATCCTGACAGCCAAACTAATAAGCATCTATCCTCCACAATTTGTGAAGTCCTACCTGTAAATGCATTCATTCGAGCTGCATTATCAATGCACAACTCTGCAATTCCATTTTCCTTTTTAATGAGTTTCACTGATCCTCCTGTGAACTGAGCTAGTTTTGCCTTAATTTCTTCTTCATTAAACCCGTGGCTTCTGTTATACAGACACAAGGATCTGTAAAGACGCCATCTTGCTGCTGATCTGTTCAGCACACATCTCCATATGGAAGAGGCCATGGCTGCAAATAAATAGAAGATATTTAAAATATTAGGGTTTGGGAGTGTTTGGCAAAGGAAAGGTAAATATAAGTTTACATTAGTATTCACAAAGTGGTGTAAAAGAAAACGATGACATAAGCAGAATTGCAAGATTTAGTTATGCTGGAAGTTTGCCGATTTTGCAATAAAACAAACATGTAACTGAAATGTGTACTGTGATTTGTTTTCAAAGGATGTCATAGTACAAAATACAAGACATAACAAAGATGTTCTGTGGGTGATCATGAAATCATTTGTGTTATAGAGAGGTTTATGTACAGTGGTGTACATTTCATAATTGAATGTGTTTCTGATATGAAATGTCACTCTGGAATGGATGTTATCAGCCCACACAATGGCTCCAAATAGGCTCTAGTAAGGGTAACAGCTCTTGTGCTCAAAGTAGACCAGTGAATGAAAATGTGTTTGCAATTGCATTGTTGTAGGGTGTAGACTTAAAGAAGAACTCCAGGTATTTTCCAAATCAGTAAATTTAAGTTCTCATTTTGGTCTAGTGATGAAAGTAGATATACTCACCTGATCCTCGGTCCTGAGGCAGTGACTGCTCACCTCTTTCTCCATCCGCTCCGGCTATGGTATGTCCCTGTGTCCTCACATCTAACAGAACTGCATTAGACGTGATGACAGCAGAGGTCTTTAGACCGCTGGAGCCCAGGGGAAAAGAAGCTGCGGTAAACGGTGTACAAGCCAGACAGGACCGAGGATCAGGTGAGTATATTTTCGTTATTTTGATCCCTAGACCAAAATGAGCAATTAAAGGGGTATTAAAGCCGCGTGTGTTTTTGCATATATCTACTGCTAGCAAGCAGTAGATATATGCAAGAACATAAAAGAAGAAAACTTACCTGTGTCTCCACCGTGCGCTCCCTTCCGAACATCTGAAGAGTCTCGGGCGGCCGCAAAGGATCGTGGGGCAGTCACATGCGCAGTTCAGATGTTCGGCTGGGAGACGAAGAGAGACACAAGGTAAGTCTATGGAGCAGCGTGCACCCGCACAGACACTGTGGGATGTCAGAGGAGAGGAGGACAGAGGAGTCAGCGCTGGATCGAAAACTGACACCAGCGCTGAAGGGATTGCTGAAAAGAACAGGAAAGAAGATGATCGGATCAAGAGGCATCATTTAGGGCCCATTCACACCACATCCAGATCATCCAGACCAGATTGTTTCCTGACCCAAAATGCATCCTAATGTATCCCTATGCTATTTCTGGCCTCTATTCACACCAGCGCAGTCCGTTCCAGACCAGACCAGACCAGAACAATACTGCATGTCTCATTTTCTCTGGCCTGGAATGCACTGGAACTGTGGGCAGGTTCACACCATTTTCCGGACCATATGTGGTCCGGAAAATGGTGTGAACCTGCCCTTAAACATACATGTATCCTTTTAAAGCAGGGCTAGGCAAACTCTGGCCCTCCAGCTGGGGAACTAAAAATCCCATCATGAAGTCTCATTGTCACAGGTCGGCTAGAACTATGAGGTGAGTGAAAAGCACCCCCCCCCCCTCATAGTTCTCCTTTAATTCTTCCAGTGTGGGGGGTTGCCTCCCACACTGAGCTATCCTAGGGAGATCGTTTTTCGTTTTTAATTGATTTTAGATGTCTTGCAATTAATGTGATTTAATGTTGTGTGTATTTTTTCTATCTATTAAATATTGCCTTATATACTATATATTAACTGTGTTACCTGGTTATTAGACTACTCCATTAAAGGAGTTTCTTTGTTTAGGGGATACATTGTTTTTGAATAAGACTATTGGAACCCAGGAGACTAGTCTCCCCTATTTGAAAAATATTATTAACCCTTGCAGCGGGGCTGCCCCCCACACTGCAAAGATTAACTGCTCGGTTGTGTCTTGGGCTGACAATACCCTTGGTGTCCTCAATGTATATAGAATGTGATGATTTACAGGACCTTAGACCACTGCAGCGGAGAGGGAGAAAGGCTCCAGGGGCCAGTCTGAGTATAACTTTTTTTTATTTTCATCCCTAGGCAAAAACGAGCAGTTAACCCTTGCAGTGCAGGGGTAGCCTGCTGAAAGGGTTAATAATACTTTCCCCCAGAGTTCTGCTTGAAGAAACTCAACTGCAGCAAGAGAGAATAAGTACATCTAATAGAAATTGTCTGCATGCATTTTGTTGTCAGGGGGCGTCATGGACTCCTCAACACATCACCTAAAATGCCTAAATACAAGTGCAGTGCAGACTTATAATGAGAGCTATTAACTGTCTGCTATGATTCTGGCTGCACCTTGTAGATCAGGACTGCGTACTGGATGAAAAGCCCGACACACGTTTTCTATTCAGTATTAGAGTAATCACATCACTATCACCCTCATGCCAGGGTCAAATCATAAGCTTGCCTTCATAATCAAATACACTCACCGCGGTGCAGCAGAGAAATGTGTCCGACTAGAAACGAGTTGTGTACAGAGAGTTCCTGTAGTACAGTAACACACACACAACACACACAGGGCCACTGACTGTTCTCAGGGAGAGGTGTGTGAGGAGAGCTGGCACACAGACACCTGTTATCCTCACACTATTGTGCATAAACTGGCAGCTCTCATACCACAGAAAAAAATAAAGGAACATTACTCTGAATTGTATAGTATACAGTATTTTTTATATGTCACAGGCATTTCTTCAACAGCTAAGGCCCCGTTCACATATAGCGACATACCTTTTGCAGCGGATCCGCACGGCCGGGATAGCGCGACTTTCGGGGCGACGATCCAGCGACGGTAGCGCGACCTTTCCCGTTGGGCTCCATAGAAAAAAAGCAAAATCGCGCAAAATCCGCCGAAAAAAGGGTCCGGTAGAAGCGACTTGCGACCGCGACGCGCGACATGGAGTTAAGACAGCTCCATTGAATAACATTGGCCGGCGACTTCTCGCGATATCGCGCGGCAAAAATGCGCGATATCGCGGCGGAAATCGCGCGATAATTCGCTATATGTGAACGGGGCCTTTGTTGTAGAGGTAGGCCACACTACAATACTGACGGATGCCTGCAACATTTTCCTTTTATAGCCATTGTTTAACACCCCATTCACACTCGCGATATTGCAAATCGCACGATTGTCATTTGAGCAATAGTGCGCGTTTTTCCACGCGATATCGTGCAAATTTTCGTATTGGGCTGAGTACAATCGAGTGACATCCGCGCCTAAAAAGGGTCCTGCACAAGCGAGGCGCGACAACGACGAGCTACAGGCGACATGGAGCTGTAAATGGGAACAGCTCCATTGACATGCATTGGACTTAGTACACAGAACGATATTGCCCGGATATAAATGCGTGATTTTGCAGCGTAAGTCCACACGATAAACCGCTCAGTATGAACGGTGCCTTAAGTCCTCACGTACAATGTAGGTCTATGGAACCTGCATTTGATGTGATGATGTCAGGGATCCCAACCTGTAAAAACTCATTTTAGGGAGGTGCCCTCTCCATTTGGGGGGGGGGCACCTCTCTGAAATGACAGCAGGCAGCAGACGAGGTAATGCTATTGCCCTGCTATCTGCTGTTTAGGCCACCGTCCGAATAAAAAATAATTTAGGCTGCTATTAGCCATTTCGATTTGCAATAGCTGCCTGCCCACCCATTGGGTTTTTTTTTTACTCTCGTGGCGGTTGGCGGACATGTTCAGGTTGGCAATGTGGGGGAGAGGGCACCCTGAAATGATGGCAGAAAGCAGAGGAGCTAATGCTTAGGAGTGAATGATTAGCTAATGAATTAATAGCGAATGAATAGCTAGGCTGCTATTGGCCATACCAATTTGCAATAGCAGGCTGGCTATTGTACTCACCCACTCTGTGTCCTCAATCTCTTTTTCTATTTTAAAAGGGAAATATCAGGGGTCTGTTTAATAAATAAAAATAAATATAAAAAAATTTAAAAGTTT